TGGTAGCGCGAGCTCTTCGAGCTGTCCGGAACGATGGACCTCAGCTATGCTGAAGAAGAAGAAGCGGAGCTTCTTGCTGCGGAGCAGCGTGCCGGCATCCGCCGATGCTTTATGTGCAAAAGCACCAAGCTTCTGAGTGCGTGATGAACCTGAAGCCGATCGAGAGGCTTTGGAGGAGCGTGCGGACCGGGACGGGGAACTGGACCCGGAGCGGACACGTTTATGACCTGGAGCCGAGGGAACTAGAGGCGCGATGTTCACCAGCCTCTCCTGCGCTTGATCCCGTTCGACCCGAAGATCAGTGATCTCCACGAGACGCTCGCCAAGCTGGCGGATCAGCTCATCCTTCTGAACTCGTGCCGAATGGTCTTGAGCGCGGCCTCGACGTCTTGACGCGACTTCTGAGATTTCTCGACCTGGTTAATCCGCCTTTCCAGCCGGGCGATAGTATCCCGAGCTGCTGAAACACGATCCTCTGTGATCCAAGGAACGAGTTAGTATGATTCCGATAAGGACATTTGGACGATACTCACAGGTGGCGCTGCGCTCTGCTCTGGCTTGGTCACGCTGAGAGATCGCCGCGTGAACGCGCTGGGAAGCTTGCCGAAGGTCCCGATCCAGCGTCGAAACCCGATCCTGTAAACGATCGAGCTCGGCAGAATGAGTTGCGATCGTGTTGTCGGCCACCTTCAAGTGACACTCCTAGCCTTCACGCAAAGCACGGAAGCGACGGGTCTTACGCTCGACCGCGGCCTCGAGGCGATCTACCTCCGCTTGGGTAGCCGATTCACGAAGCGTCGAGTCTAGGGAGGCCTGGCGATCACGCGCGACCTATAAGACAGACTGGGACCGCGCGAGCTGGGACTCCAGATCTGCTATGCGGCGAGCTGTATCAGGTGGGATAATCACCTCGAAGGAAGAGGCTGCGGCCAACTGTACCTCCAGAATGAAAACTCGGTCTTGGAAATCGTAGACGGCTTCGTTATAGCGGAGCAATAGATCGCGATACCGAAGGCGGCAAGCCTCGAGCTCATGGGAGTTATCCAGACGCTCCTGCTGCGCATCCAGGCACTCGACGAGCTCCTTCTGAGTGGATTCCAGCTGGTGATGGACAACCTCATACTTGCGCTGACAGAAGAGTACGTACGGGGAAGCAGCATTAGCAGCGCCAGCAAGCTGCCGATCCAGGTCTTCTCGGCGACGTGGCGTGGTAAGAAACTTGCGGCGCAGAACATCATGATCCTGGCGGAGCTCACGCAGTGCCTCGGTCTGATCGATAGCCTGTTGCAAAGCGTTCAGCGAAGCGCGCACATCGGTGAAATCCAGCGATGGATCGGCCAGATCGACGGTCGACATGGTGGCAGGCCCGTCATGCACAGCAGTCCGAGGAGAAGACGTGAGATCAACGAAAGCGCTGTTGCCTACGAGAAACGTGAGTTAGCAGTGAAGAGAGGATGGTCAACGCATATGGAAGCAGACGCACCGGAAGACATGGCGACGTGGACGCAAGGACATCGAAGGGGAGCGACGTCGCAAGCGAGAAGCTGTTGCGAGAAGCGAAGATCAGTGAGTGAAGCCCGACAGTTGGTGCTGTGGACTCTCACTCAGGGGACGATTGTGGTGAAGTGACAGTAGGGGAGCAAGGGAATGATTGATGGGATGCGACTCGATCCAGTCTTGGGACTCATGATCGACGACGGCGCGTCAAAGTGATTACGTTATCATCCGCGAGGGTTTCGTAATCGTCGGAGTAGATCGACATGGTGCAATCATTCCGCACGCGATCTACCTCCAAGGAGTCGATCTACTGTTGACGCATCAACTGATTTGTACACATGGCAAGTACCACTCGACCCGGCTGCAGAGGGATAGTAGAGGCATCTACGGGATGGGCAGAAGGTAGCGGACCGCCAGGACTTAAAGGAATAAGAGAGTGGAATTTGCCTTATCAGGAACAATTATCTTTGGTACAAGATTTAGAAACTGTAGCGGGAAGTATATTGGTCCATACAGTAATCAAGTTATTTCTACCAGATACACGGCCGGAGTTCGAGGTGTAGTAGATCGACTGATTTGTACCCATTTATGGGTACCACAAAGGGCCAGTTTGAGCAATCATGGGATGGGTAGAAGGTAGTGGACCGCTAGGACTTAAAGGAATAACAGAGTGGAA